GGGTAAGTTCCCAACAGTGGGCGCAAACATACATTCACTATGGGGTGTCGCTTAGTAGTAGTAGAGTGTTTGAGTGCAAATTAAGAGGGTCTTAGTTCAATGCCAAGTGCCTCCTTAAAAAGTTGATTATCCTAAGTGAAACATTTGCATCTCCAAGTGTCTCACATCTTGGATTTCTATTGTACAGGGATTCTTAAAATGTCAGCAAACCCCTTATGTGTTCTTGTGCCAATGCACATAAACCAAGCAAATCCATCCCTCAACTGAAACCAGTTCAAACCTGCTGTGTGTCTGGTTTCTATTCCCATCAATTGAGCAAGGGTGTGATCTGAATGCCCATTGGCAGGTCCTTGCTCTTCATTGGCTGTTCTGTACAGAACAGAGCGAGAACCACGTCCAGCTGGAGATGAATTGCTGTGATCAATCTTCTGGAACTTGATTCAGTGAGTCAAACTAAGACTCACTAAATCAAACCCAGAGGGCACCCCCACCAGCTTCCAGTACTTCTGCTCTTTGCTTCCTTTGGCTTCCCGCTGTTGGGACATTGCCAAAGCTCAACTGAAGGAAGCCGACTCCAGTTACATATAGAGAGATGGTAGGAAAAGCAGACACATTGGCCAGGCATCACTGAGGGCTGCCTCCCTCATCTCCCCGATACCTGGCAGGTGCTGTGACCAGCTTAGCCATGGGCCTTTTCTCCCAGCTGCTCCACATGTAGCCATTGCCCATGCCACGTAAGGGGAGAAGAAAGTCACTCTCCATGGCTGCAGGAGCTTTGCACTCGCAGGATCTCTGGGAGCTGATCCCTACCCACCCCAGGACATTGCAAGGGCATGTGGTGCTGGCTTTCCTGTCCCAGCAATTGCAGTCAGAGCTCTGCCTTGACAGTGCCAGTCACAGCAGCCTCTGCACCTGCTGCAGGCTTGTGGTTTCCTTCTTCCCAATGCTCCTCTCCAGTCAGCCTTTTCCTGAATCAGAAGTTCCATGGTTGGCCAGAGGAGGCCTCTCCTGTATCCTAGAAGGGTATAGAAAAATATGAGCAAAGGCTACAACAGTGCACCAATAGGAGTTCAACCCAGGATCTCCTTCTTACAAGGGAGGCACTTTAACCAGCTAAGCCATGGTGCCCTCCTCAGACAGTGGTATAAAATTTTTCTATTTTAAGGTTTCAGACAACACCTTTGCGTCCCGATATGAAGCCATTTCTCTCCAGCCTTTCCACCCTGTCACTGTCTGGCTCCCTGGGCACAGAAAGCTACAGCTCAGTGGACAGGGGGCTTTGGCTTCCTTGATCATGGGATGTTGTTGCAGGAAGGGCTTCTCAGCAGGGATGCGGTTCACCTGTTAAGGAAGGGGAAGAGTATTTGGATGCAGACTGGCTAAGCGAACGAGGCGGCATTAAAGTAGGTTTGATGGGGGCAGGTGCCCAAAGCCCACAGGTAAGTGAATCACATGGACACCTGGGAGATGGGGCAGACATGGGAGAGAGCAGGAGCTGTAACAGCAGAGATAAAGGAGGGACGAGGGACCACTGGGAAGCAAAATCTAATCTGTGTCTTGGATGCTGGTATAGACACACAGGAGCGATGGGTAATAAGCAGGAAGAAGTTGGTATCACAGGGACTTGGTGGGATAATACACACGACATGAACATTGGCATAAAAGGGTACAGCTTGCTCAGAAAGGAGTGGGAGGAGGAGTTTCCTTAGATAGGAAACATGTGAACACTTGGCCTGAGGTGGAGAGGGACACAGGAGACAGACTTGTTGGGAGTCTCTCGATGAGGTTAAAGGGGTAAAATCCAAGGGTAATGTCACTCTAAGTGTCTATTAGAGACACCTCCCCAGGCAAAAGAGGTGCATGAGGCTTTTTAAACCATTAACAAAATCATCCAAAGCACAGCTGGTTTCACACACACTCAGCTTCACCTACAGCTGGGAGTCTGTTTGCAGTCAGCCGAAAAGAAACTGGCCGGCAGAACCAAGGCTCCGGATAGTTCTGGGTCCAGATGTGTAAACAGCTGGCAGTCAAGCTTGTTGCCCTTGTTAGGGGTGTGACCAAAACACAGACCTCACTGTGAGCAGGATTTGAGCCTGCACAGATAAACACTTTTGGAGTGTTAATCCAACTACTTAACCACTTGGCCATCATTACTGTGAGAAAACCTTCTCCTGTACTCATATGTGCACAAAAAAATTGTTATTTCCTCCCTGGCCAACTCAGATTGCTACTGGGCAAAGGAATTCTCTCTTAATTCTGTGCCCTCAGGAAGGTACCAACCCAAAGGAAGCCAGGCTCCCACCTGGGGTCTCCAACCCAAACCCTGAGACCCAGGGGTTTAAAATCCAGACAGTCAATGTTTGCTGCACTTCTCCCTCCCCCCAGCAATGCTAAATCTCAAGGCCAGCTCTACAGTCCCAGTGGCTGGGGGAGCAGTGCCTGTCAGAGTCTCTGCCCACTGAGCTGTAGCTTTCTGTGCCCAGGGAACCAGACTCTTCCAGGGCTGGAGGGAAATGGGGAATGGCTGCACTTTGGGAGTCAAAGGTGTCATCTGGGACCATAGAATAGAACAGTTTTACCAAACTGTATGAGAAGGGCACCATGGCTTAGCTGGCTAAAGCACCTGCCTTGTAAACAGGAGATCCTGGGTTCAGCTCCCAGTGGTGCCTTACTGTGGCCTTTTGTAACATTTTCCTATGTCCTTCTGGGACACAGAAGAGGCCTCCCCTGGCCACCCATGGAACTGGTAGTTCAGGAAAAGGATGATTGGAGAGGCTCGTCAGGGAGAAGGAAACCTGGAGCTGGTGCAGAGGCTGCTTTGACTGGCACTGGCAAGGCAGGGCTCTGACTCCCACTGTAAGTCCCTGGGTACTGGCCACTGAGTCCTGCTCCATGGTTTCCCCAGTGCTCTGGCTGAGAGAGATATGCCTGTAACTCCCTTCTTGGAGCATGGGCCCTGCCCCGCCTGGTGGGAGAAGGGGACAAACACAAGGGCGCTGACACTCCAGCAGTGGGGCACTTGAGCCCTTCAGCTGGATTCAGACCAGGCCGGTTGGAGCTTCTCGTGCTCGCCGAGGGGGATTCTGCACTTGCTGCCTTGGGAGCCAGGGTCACATTGCAGAGCTCCCCCAGGGCCGTCCCATGGCACTGCCAAGCCGGTGCCTTGTGGTGAACTTTGTTTACTTTTTCCTATGTCTTTCTGGCCTCTGACACTCCAGCACTGGGGCACTTGAGCCCTTCAGTCGGATTCAGACCAGACCGGTCAGAGTCTCTCGTGCTCATCGAGGGGGATTCTGCACTTGCTGCTTTGGGAGCCAGGGTCACATTGCAGAGCTCCCCCAGGGCCATCCCACGGTGCCACCAGCGCAGCCCCAGCCGCTCTCCCTGCCCTCAGCAATGTGGCTGCATTTTATCCTTCCCCTTCAGTAACAACCAACCATTCCCTGCCCAGCCCCAGCACCAGCCCCAGCCCCAGCCCGAGCCCCCGTGGGACCTGCTCCCTTCCCCAGGAGCAGTGAGCACCTGCGTGGCTCTGTACTGAGGCTACGGCTGGGGGAGGCACTGGGGGAGGGACACATGATGTCAAGGTGTTGAGTTTTACCCATGGCTAGTGTGGGATGACCCACACTCTGGGGGCAGCTGGAGGTGCCTCCTGAGAGCTGATTTTTAGAGGGGTGTGATCAAACCTTCCTGTGTTTCTGGCTCCTTCCAAGGGCTAAAATCTGGTACCTAAAAGTTGAGGAATATGCATTTGGAAGACGGAATTTTTGTCTTTTTAATATTACTGGTCTGCCACAGTGGCTTAATGGACAAGGCAAGGGACTGTGGGTTGAGGTCCCTTCTGGGAAGACAATTGAGATGTTTCCAGGTAGATGTAGAGTCATGTGCTTTTGCGCAAGAGTGTCCACAGCAGCATGAATGCTCTCTTGTGCTCTGATGGGCTGTGGGACGGTGGCTGTACACTGCTGCTGAAAGGCCCTTGTGAGCTGCTCAGCCTCTGGTCCCCACCCTGGCAGGAACTTCTCCTGCTTGTTTCCACAACTATTCTGGAGAACACCGCAGGCTACCACCACTTAGGGGATGTTTGTCTCACCAAGGTCCAGCCAGGGGAGCAGACAGCGGAACCTCCCTTTAAGGGGCCTGAAGGCTCCTCCACATCAAAACGGGCCCTGCAGAGCCTGCCTGGGAAACCTTCCTTGCTTTAGGCTGCATGTTCTGTCTAGGGCTTCATCAGCCCAGGGAGCATCCACATCTCTGGCTCTGGGGGTGCAGATAGGGGAAAAGTGCTGCGGGGCATCTTCTGGTAGAGCCTGGAGCTACAAAATATCCCAGCATCATGCACCCCCTACCAAACATCCCAGACAGAGAATTGTAGGCCAGAGACATGCCTGTGCAGGAGCCAAAGTAGCTCAGTTGGGAAAGCATTAAACTGATGATCTAAAGGCCCCAGTTCAATCCCAGGCTTTGGTATGTAGCAGGGACCTTTCTGCTAGGCCAGAATTACTTTTGCGTTTGATCATCAGGTCACTGTTTTCAGCTACTGCTTGGCACTGACAAATCATATACATGGGATTAACCCTCCCACCTCTTCTGCAGGGTCCCTGCTTCCTTGGCTTAATGCCCACCCAGTGCTGGCTGTAGAGGTGGGCACAAGGGCTGTAGCTCAGGGTCCAAGGCCTTTCCAGCCTGCAGGAGAAGGATGTTGCCAGAGTCTACTCCCACCAGGCTGGGGCTGCTCAGGGTCTGTGTCTGCTGGTCCCTGCTCCAAACCAGGACTCCTGACTGCTCCTTGCAACCTGCTCAGCCTGTTCTGGACTCCCCTCCCAGAGCAGGCAGCTGAAGGAGAACAGGCCACCTTGCCACAAGCATGTAGTGCCAGCAAGGGGCTTGAACCCAGCACCCTGACATTATTAGCACCAAACACTAATCAGCTGAGCCTGCCAGTCCACACCAGTGCTGTACTGAATTCTCTGTTAATTCTGTGCCCTCTGTGCCCTTAGGAAGGGACCAAACAGAAGGAGGCCAGGCCCCCACCTGAGGACTCCAACCCAAATCCTGAGACCCAAGGGTTACCAATCCAGATGATCAATGTTTGCTCCACTTCTCCCTTCCCTCAACCTTGCCAAACCACAAAGGTAACTCTACAGTCCCAGAGGCTGGGGGAGATGTGCATGTCAGAGCCTCTGTTCACTGAGTTGTAGCTTTCTGTGCCTGGGGAGCCAGACACTGCCAGGGCTGGGGGGAAATGGGAGTCAAAGGTGTTGTCTGGGACCATAGAATAGAACAATTTTATGATTTATTTTTTGAGCCTGGTGCTATGGCTTAGCTGGCTAAAGCACTTGCTTTGTCAACAGGAGATCCTGGATTCAATTCCCCCTGGTGCCTTGTTGCAGCCTTTGCTCACACTTTCCTATATCCTTCTTTGACACAGGAGAGGCCTCCTCTGGCCACCCATGGAACTGCTGATTCAGGAAAAGGCTGATTGGGGAGGAACGTTGGAAAGAAGGAAACCACGAGCCTGGAGCAGGTGCAGAGGCTGCTGTGACTGGCACAGGCAAGGCAGGGCTCTGACTGCAATTGCTGGGAGAGGAGAGCCAGCACCACATGCCCTTGTGATTCCCTGGGGCTGTCAGTGTTCAGAGATCCTGAGGGTGCAATCTCTGCAGCTCCTGCAGCCATGGAGAGTGACTCTTCTCCTCCTTCCCTCGGGATGGGCAATGGAAACACGTGGAGCAGCTGGGAGAAAAGTCCCAGAGAGCCGCCCCATAACTAAGCTGTCCCAGGCACCTGCCAGGTAATTTTGAAAGAAGCATTTTCTTTCCAAATAACCGTGTTTAGACAGTGTTTCTTTTTTCAAAATAATGCTATTTTGAAATAGCGCCATAATGTAATTATGCAAATGAAGCCCAGGAAATTCAAATCCACGCTTCATTTGTAATTTTGCTCATCTGGAGTTGCATTCCTCCCTCGAAGGAGGAGTGCAGTGTCGACATACCCTCTGTGAAAAGAAGTGAAGAGGACACTCCTGTCAGTGAGGAACAGGGCACATGGATCCCACCCTTTCCTGCAAAAAAATGAAACAGCTGAGCACTTTGCAGAGAACAGGCCATAGCCCTGCTGTGTGAGGCTCCATCATGCACAGATTCTGCGCAGGGCCAACCTGCTGGGATGAGGCTCTGGCCATGGACTTTCCTCCCCTCTCTGTTACCTCCTGCACCTGGGGCTGAAAGGGACAGTCTTGCCTAGCTGCCTTCCCCAGTGGGAGCAGAAAATGCTTATGGGGGGCTCACACATTGTCCCCAATGCACTGGCCTGAGGCAATAAATTCTTGCTGCCTCTGGGTGCACCCAAATACCCCTTCTGCTCCCCAGCTCACACCCCTCATGCCACACTTGGTGCCATGAGAACAAAGCTTCCAAAGGGGTTTGATTTTCCTCCATCTCCCCTTGCTGCCATGCTAAAAGAAATCCTGAACCCTGTGTCCTGTAACTGGAGAGATGGCCCTGTGCTGCAGTATAAAACAGCATGTAGCCTTGATAGCTCAGTTGGTAGCACACGAGACTTTTAATCTCAGGGTCATGGATTCAAGCCCTATGCTGGCTGATATCCTTCCTTAACTCTCAGTCTACAAGCAATTTACTCTCAGCATTAACCAGGGTTTTAGAAAGAAAATGTCTAGTTCTGGGGTCAAACCAGAGTCACATTATGGCACTGAGATTGCCCAATTCAGTTTCTCTGAGTTACAAGACAAATAATGGTTTGAATCTGGTTCCTGGTCACTTAAAAATCTGGGTTCTCTGGGTCTGGTTCAGGTCTAGTGATTCCAGCCCAGCGAATCAAAGCTGCATCTGCTGAACTGTCCCTGGGGAGTGTAGGGCAGCCCAGAGGGATTCAGGCATGTGGGGAGGAGTCCCTGGTTACAGCACAGGCAGAGGAGGCTGGTGTCTGTCTGCTCAGGGTACAAAGCCCCAGAGTTGGCTGAGTTTCCTGGGTCAGATAATACTGCCTCTGACACCGTGATCTAGGAGCTCAGGTGGGTCTGTAGCAGGAAGACGTTCATTGTGGCCCCTCTGGACCCACTCTGGCTGGGTACATTCCCCTTATGGCAGCCGCAGGCTGTGCTGGCATCAGCTCCAGATGACAGGGAGAGAACTGGGGGACAAAGCTCAGGAGGGGCAGGAAAGTGACTCAGCCAAACCAGCCTCTTCCAGCCTCAGTTTGTGCCTGAGGGGAGGGAAGCCCCTGTGTGTCTGCAGGTCTCAGAGCTGCTGCCCTCAGTAACACAGTGTGAAAGTAGAAAGAATTATACTGTAAGATAAAGATGAATTATGATGTAATAATTGAATAAATTGAAGGAATACTGTTTGTCTCTGAAAAGGAAGAAGAAAAGTATGTTAATGTTGTTTGTAGGTATGCAGATCAGAGTGCTAGCCAGGTGTGCCTGAGTTAATAGGAAAAGGAACATTTAGGCTGTGTCTGCACTGGCACGCTTTTCTGTAAAAGGGATGCATGAGACACTTCGGAATTGCAAATTCCACGGGGGATTTAAATATCCCCCGCGGCATTTGCATGAACATGGATGCTGCTTTTTTCCGGCTCGGGGTTTTGCCGGAAAAAAGTGCCAGTCTAGACGGGATCTTGCGGAAAATAAGCCCTTTTCCAGAAGATCCCTTATTCCTACTTGAAAGATCCTTATTCCTACTTTTCTGAACAGGCCCATTGGGTGGGGAGTGAACATTCTCCCATTTCTAAAAGAGTAAACACCACATGGACAGGGCAGGAAAAACTGACCAGAGTCTCCATTGGTCCATCAATGGCTACTAGCCAGGATGGGCAGGGAGGGTGTCCTGAGCCTCTGTTTGCCAGAAGCTGGGAATGGGTGACAGGGGGTGGATCACTTGGGGATTCCCTGTTTTGTTCATTCTCTCGGGGGCACCTGCATTAGCCACTGTGGGCAGACAGGACACTGGGGCTACGTCTACACTGGCAGCTTCTTGCGGAAGATCAGACATTCTTCTGCAAAAATTTCCAGCTGTCTACACTGCACGAGCATTCTTCCAGAAGTAAATTTACAGTATAGCATTGAACAACAGGGCTTCTTCCGGAAGAGTTATTCCTCTCCCCACGGGCTGTGTATAGACTGGCAAGATCTAGACTGGCAAAATCATCTGATTTTGCGGAAAAACTTGCCATCTGTCTACACTGGCCGTTTGTATTTCCAGAAAAGCACTGACGATCTCATGTGAGACCGTCAGTGATTTTCCAGAAAAACTATGCTGCTCCCATTTGGGCAAAAGTCTTTTTCCTTAGTGTTTCCTTAGTAGTGTTTTCCGCAAAAAAGCCCCGATTGCGAAAATGGCGATCGGGGCTTTTTTGCGGAAAACTGTGTCTAGATTGGCCACAGACGATTTTCCACAAAAAGTACTTTTGCCGAAAAGCATCCTGCCAATCTAGACGTGCTTTTCCGAAAATGCTTTTAACATTTTTGGAAAATCATGCCAGTGTAGACGCAAAAAGTGCTTTTGCGGAAAAGCTTCCTGCCAATCTAGATGTGCTTTTCTGAAAATGCTTTTAACGGAAAACTTTTCCATTAAAAGCATTTTCGGAAATTCATGCCAGTCTAGACGTAGCCACGAGGAATAAGCCCTCTTGCGCAAGAGGGCAGTGTAAACAGGCAACATGAATTTCTTGCACAAGAAACCCCTATGGCTAAAATGGCCCGCAGAGCTTTCTTGCACAAGAGAGCGTACACACTGCCATAGATGCTCTTGCTCAAAAGTACATGCCAGTGTAGATGCGCTCTTGTGGAAGATTTTTTGCACAAGAACTCTTCCACAAACAAAAGAAGCACAAGAAGCTGCCAGTGTAGACATAGCCCATGGCTGTGTCTAGACTGGCAAGTTTTTCCACAAAATCATCTGCTTTTGCGGAAAGACTTGCCAGCTGTCTACACTGGCCACTTGAATTTCCGCAAAAACACTGACGATCTCACGTAAGATTGTCAGTGCTTTTGCGGAAATACTATGCTGCTCCCGTTCAGGCAAAAGTCTTTTTCCGAAAAACTTTTGCGCAAAAGGGCCAGTGTAGACTGCAGAGATTTGTTTTCCGCAAAAAAGGCCCGATTGCGAAAATGGCAATTGGGGCTCTTTTGCGCAAAAGTGCATTTAGATTGGCCACGGATGCTTTTCCGCAAAAAGGGCATTGGCAGAAAAGCATCCGTGCCAATCGAGACGCTCTTTTCCGAAAATGCTTTTAACAGAAAACTTTTCCATTAAAAGCATTTCTAGAAAATCATGCCAGTGTAGACGTAGCCCATGTGTCTGTCTCTCACAATAAGTAACAGGGAAAAGCACAAATACAGTCCTCCACTACTACAAATGGTGGAATCAAATTTTCCACCTTTGGGGAAATTACAGAAATCAACACAACCATAGTGCAATAGATGAGCTTCACCCTCGAAAAGCCACCTTTATGACCATGCTATTTCCCCTGAGAGGTATGTATGAGAAGCCCAGGCACAACCACTGCCCCCCAAGCACCTAAACACTCTCACCTCAGGGTGGGCACAACCTCACCACCCCAAGTGGCCATGCCTGCACCACATCCCTCCTGCTCACTCTCCTCCCCCCCTCGGACACCTCCTGATGCCCCAGGCCAGCCCCAATCACCAAATTCAGGCCCAGCTAACCAGCCTGCTCCTGCTCCCACAGGGCTCTGCTCATGACAATATCTGCATACGGCAGTGGTCCCCAGCCTTTTGGGGCTGCTGGGCATCTAAGGGTGGGGCCGCTCACACACTGGGCATTCGGGGGCAGGGCCGTGCATGTGCCGCGTGCCTGGGGCAGGGGCCAGCACCGTGCATGTGCCATGTGCCCGGGGGCAGGGCCAGTCCAGATCATTCCATGGGTGCACATAAATGCCCCGGCGGGTGCCATGGTGCCTGCGGGCACTGCGTTGGGGATCACTGGCATATAGGATTCAATGGGAGAAGAGGGAAACCATCCTGTAGTTGGGACCCTCCTCCCAGAGGATGTTGCGGTATCCTCTCGCACTGAGGATACCTCTGAGGGGGAGGGAATACCAGTTAGGAAGAGGCAGGTGTTAGTAGTGGGTGATTTGATCGTTAGAAACATAGATAGTTGGGTTTGTGATGACCGGGAGAACCGTATGGTCACTTGCCTGCCTGGTGCGAAGGTTGCGGATCTCTCGAGGCATCTAGAC